CTCCTACAGCAAGCATGTCAAACTCAAAGGCTAACACGGCTAAATAAACAAGGTTTAAGTTTATGTGGCTGCAAAAATCAAAAGCTTCAATTTTCATAGAAATGCAGATTTATTTTGATAGAGACATGCTGAATACAAAGGGCTGAAATAAATTAGTAATCGTTAACATAAAATAATAGAACATTTTAATAAAAATAATTTTTCTTGAACATTAATATTCCAGACTCTAAATAACAAATAAGAGTAAGGCAAATAAACCTATTTTTCTTGTTCTCTGAAAGTGAAATATTTCCTGTTGTGTACACCCAACAAGTCAGTACAAGACTAATGATGTGGCCACTGGCTGCTAAAATAGTCTCTGCTGGTATTAGTGGAGAGAAATGGTGCGCCTGTGCGTAAGGCACGTCAGGGAAATCAATGCAACATGATAGTAACCAGTCATTAGTGAACACTGCAGTTCATTAGTAATAACTAGAGGCCCAATGCACGAAATTCATGCAAGAGTAGGCCTTCCTACCCTGGGCTGCCGGCACTGGCTTCCCTCTGGCACCCAGGACCCAGGCTTCCCTCCAGCTCTGGCTTCGGCTGGAAGGACGTTTGGTCTAATTAGCATATTATGCTTTTTTTTTTTTTTTTTAAAAAATTATAGATTACGTATAACAGGATATTGTAAAAGTTTAGTTACAAAGTTTATTGACACGTTTCTTACATTCCATTATACTGACTGGACTGCAAAAATATCCCAAGGCCCGCGAGTTTGACATGCTTGTCCTACAGGTGACATCGCTAGTAGATTTTTGTTTTGGTTTTTACTTAAGTCAAGCAACACTTTCTGCCAATAAATAAAAAAGGTCACTGAAAAGTGAGTCAGGATTTTGAGAAAATCAAACTTTTTTTCTGTTACTATCCTACCAGCTTTTGAAAACAGATGCCAAGATGAGGTATTTAATTCAGTTACTGATGTCCTCTCCTGACAGGCTTGGCAAAATGAATTTCCTTTCATCTTTCTTTGCATTGAGTCTCTTTACTTGAAATAAAATATTTGAGGTCAAACAATTCCTTATTTAAAAAAAATAATTAAAATTCATTTTTACATATTTCAGAGAGGAAGGAAGAGGGAGAGAGGGAGAGAGGGAGAGAGGGAGAGAGGGAGAGAGGGAGAGAGGGAGAGGGAGAGAGAGAGAGAGAGAGACAAACAACCATGATGAGAGAGAATCATTGATCGGCTGCCTCCTGCATGCCCCCTACTAAGGATCGAGCCTGTAACCGAGGCATGTGCCATGTCCAGGAATCCAACCGTGACCTCCTGGCCCACAGGTTTACTTTCAACAATTGAGCCACGCAGCTGGGCGAAACGGTTCATTATTAAGGGTGCGAGTGCCAAAGAATCGCATGCGATGGGGCTTAGGAAGACGAGAGGTGCCCGCCCGGGCCATCAGGAAGGACGTGGTCACGGACAGCCACGTGTGGGTTCGTGAAGGAATAAGAGGCGGAGTATTTTTATACACTTGGTGCAAACATCACATCTTTTTATGCACAACTATTCCAACATCATTCTCCAAAAACTAATTCCTCAAAAACACTTCTTACACATGTAACTCCATAATCAAGCCTAATTTCCCATAGGAAGATTTATTTTTTTTAAAATATCGAGTCAGACTGATGGGAATGGCCAAAGGGGATCTTGTGCTTTTATTTTTTTACTTCTTGGACATAAGAGATTTTATTTATGTTAACCTGTAACTAAGAGTGATAATGTATCATAATGTAAACAGCATGCATGACATTTTCTCTCTCTCTTATTTTGAAAGGCTTCTCAATTAAGATAAAAATTTTATAAAGTTATATTAAACCAAGATTAATCTAGATGGTATAAGCCCTTTCATAAGAAACTCACCCTGAGAGAAATTAGTTTTTAGTAGAATGATTATGACAAGAGACTAGACACTTTTTTTTCACAAGCAGCAGCATTTGAGTTCTCTACCTTTTTGTTGAAATAAATGTAAGAACATTTACTGTAAAATTGTAACTCATAAGCCCACTCCAATGTCTCTAATATTATTAGTCAAAGGAAAGACTTTATTGACTTTACATTGGTCACGTGTAAAGCAGTCATCACTGACATCAATCCATGAAAAGAAAACGCTTGGCATGTTTTCCATGGAGAAAACAGGACACAATTACGGGCAAGAGATTATCAGGCGAACGCACTCACCTGTTGTTTTAGAATTCACCCACCGACTTTTTAAAGCTACAATTTGTATCTTAACCTTCCAGGCATTCTTTTGATGAGATGATAAAACATTTCACAAAAATATTAGAGACTGAAAATATTTAAAAATCAAAGAGCATTTGAGATAACTTTTTTTTTTATAACAATTATATAAACCAAAATATTCCTAAAAATTCAGGGAATTCATCAGGAAATCTTAAAACAAACAAAAAATAACCCCATAAAAAACAGTTCTTGGCTATTTCCCAAGTGCTGATGGTCACACATCTACACAACATAGCTCTGCAGAGGCTATGCTGGTTTTGGGCAGAACAAACCGAGTCTAGGAACTTACGTTTCTTTTTACAAAACTGCCTTCAGTGTCTTTTGGACATAACTGCACAGGGAACCTCGGACAAATAGGAGGACAAGTGGGTTTGCTTCCTTTGAGATGGACAAACCTCAGGAAGAATGGCTGTCTAGGGGAGGGGGCGTCACCTGACACCAGGTTCCCTCAGGGGTCACCTCCCACTCCTCCCTCCAGACCAGCCACTGCAGGGGGGACAAGACCCATGCTCCAGGTCTGCCCCCACTCTGCTCGCCCTACCAGCTCACCTACTCTCTCACCTACCCACTCACCCACTCACCTACTCTCATCTGTCCGCTCACCTACCTACTCACCTACCTGCTCACTTACCCTCTCACCTACCCACTCCTCCACTCACCTACCCGCTCACCTACCCACTCACCCACTCACCTACCCTTCCACCTGCCCACTCACCTACCCACTCACCTACCCACTCACCTACCCTCTCGCCTGCCTACTCGCCTGCCCGCTCGCCTACCAACTCACCTACCAACTCACCCACTCATTACCCGCTCACCTACCTGCGCACCCTGCCCGCACACCCTGCCTGCTCACCTGACTGTTCACCTACCTGCTCACCTGCCCGCTCACCCGCCTGCTCGCCCTACCTGTGCAAATGGAAACACGTGGAAGCCCCGGGAAATGGCTGTCCCAGAGAGGAAGAGGCTTGAGAACACACCTGGCCAAGGCCTTCCTCCCTTCGGCAGGCAGCTCCTTGTTCCAGCAGAATCCACGCTTCCTCCCCCACCAGCTGGTCCAAGGGAGCCAGGCCCCGCCAAGCCGACACTTGGTGTTCTCCAAGCACGTGGCCCCGTCCGAGGCGCACGTCAGCCAGGAGCCGCCTAACCTCTAGCAGGCGCAGCAGGCCCTGCGGCCACCTCCATCGGAGGCACCGAGGAGGCAGAGACCGGAGAAAGCACCGCCAGTGGGACAGGGGGCACGCAGCCGGCGGTGCCCCGGGAAGGCTGCAGCTGGCCGCTCACGGCTAGAGCAAGGCCCGGTGTCATGCCCCTGCCCTGGGTGCAGCCAGGCCTCTGCCACTCGGAGGCGCAGGCCCAGGGGCTGAGGCAGCAGCGCCAGCTCCGCCTGAACCACGGCCACACGTAGAGAAACTGAGGCTTGAAGCCGGGCTTCCGCTCTCCCTGAACCCTGTTCTAATCAGTCTCCGAAACCCGGAGGCTTCCCCTGCCCTTTCCTGACCTCTGGTGCCCGTGAGACCGGGGCCCCTGTCCTGCTCCGTGAGAGACGGGGCCTCGGGAGGCGGCTGCAGGCACAGCCCTCGGAAAGAGCCGGTGCTCCTGCTCAGGCACGGCAGCCTGGCGCCCAAGAAGAACCCCTGTGACGCCGGCTGACGAGAAAGGCCGCTGCGGGACCCAGTGGAGGCAGGCGGTGGTGGGAAGCCAAGGGGGGATGCCCTGGGCTGGATGACAAGTGACACGATAGACACACGCCTCGTGTGCATGGCGGGCACAGGACGGTAACCAGCACTCACAGCGCATGGAGGTGGTGGGAAGGGACCAGGCCCTGAGGGTCTGCCAAGGCCTGTTTGCACAGGTATGCGCCAGGTGGAGAGGGCAGCCGACGCTCACGCAGGTCAAGACGGACTTGGGACGTGCTCCGCCCTGACTGCCTTCCTGAGGAAGGTGCATGCGGGGCCGCGAGGGGTCCTGTGGGCCCTGGTCTGGAAGGCACACCTGGGAGTCGGGCTTCATGAGGCGGCTGGGCCCTGGCTTTCCGGGCGGGCGTGTCCCTGGGCACCACAGTGCCCACCAGTGAGGGGCGCCCGCTGGCACGGAGATGCAACAGCCACCTCCCTGGTGCCCTCTGCTGGGGTGAGCGGGGCCTGGTCTCCCAAGGGCTGGGCTCAGCTTCTCTGGAAAGGGGGGCAGGGGGCGCCCGGCCTTGGAACCCAGCCAGGCGAGCCCTGGCCACGGGCAAGGACCTTAGCCATTAATTACAGGGGCGGCTGGAACGGGCCCTGGGAATGTCACATGCGAAGGGCGAGAGCAAGCGGGTGTGCAGGCACAGGTCTGCTCTCCCCTGCCCGCCTCCTGCTGCTCTGCCTTTGGAATGGGTGTCTGTGAGAGACTGGCATCGGCTCAGACACGAACCTTCCCCCGGGATGGAGCGAAGCACTGCCTCCTGCCCAATGGAAATGAAAACTCCGTGCTGAGCGGAGGGTCAGGACCAGGCAGGTTTCCACGGGCCCCATCCAGTCCTGCCAGCCCTGAGGCAGCTGCAGTCTCTCCCCAAGGGACAGGGAACCCTCCCTGCGCGTTCCAGCTGCCGCTTCAGATACCTGGTGCTGCGGAGGGAGGGGCAGAGCGCGCTCTCAGGAAGCTCCCTGTGGGAGGTGCCAGGCCCCGTGGGTCCTGAGCCGCCTCGGTGGGCGGGTGGTGGGCGGGCGGGTTCCCAGTGGGCTCGCAGGCAGCGCTGGCGGAGGGAGGCAGGCAGCCAGCGGCGGGGTTTTTCCTGTTGCCTGGCTGCTGACCCCCCACAGGAAGATAACGGAGCGGCGGGGGCGGAGCAGCTCTCACACATGCCTGGCTGCGGACCCATCATCATATAAGGAGCGGGAGCCAGCGTCTCGGGTCCTGACACGGTGGCTCTGGGCAGAGAGAAAAGCCGAGCGACTGGTCCCGGGAACTCAGCCCCCAGTGCAGGGTCCACGCCTGAGGGAGGCAGCCCCGCGGACGGAGGGACGGAGGGAGCAGCCAGGCCGCCGGCTGCTCGGGGCACAGAACAGGCTTCTGCGGATGGACCCTGAGCCGAGCGAGCACTGAACCCAGCGTCCCATGCGTGGCAGCCTGCGGAGCGGCCGGAGGGGCAGCGGAGACGCAGGCATGTGGCAGCTCGTGTTCCTCACGCTGAGCTGGGACCTGGTCCCGGCCGCAGCCCACAGCCTCCACAGGAGCATGGATGGCGTGGGGCGGCGGCAGTACCAGGTGCAGCACGGCGCCTGCAGCTACACCTTCCTGCTGCCTGAGACCGACAACTGCCGCCCGCCCGCCAGCTCCTATGTGCCCAACTCGGTGCAGCGGGACGCGCCCCTCGACTACGACGACTCGGTGCAGAGGCTGCAGGTGCTGGAGGGCATCATGGAGAACAACACGCAGTGGCTGATGAAGGTAGGGCTGCGCAGTCCGTGGGCACGAGGCTCTGCTTTAACAGCCTGGGCGGGGGCGGGCAGGGAGAGGGGGTCGCCCTGGTGGGAAGGGGTTTCTGGGTCCTGGGCAGTGAGCTTGCGGCTGAGGGGAGGATTCTTTGAAGAGTGAGCTCTTCAGAGGGTCTCTGCAGGGGAGGAGGAGGCGGCTCAGATTGCTGCCTGTGGTTAAGCTCCCAGCTGAGCCCTAACAGCCCTGCCCTCAGGCTATCGAGCTCCTGGCAGGGGGAGCCAGGAAAGCCTGAGTGACAATCCTGCTAATTGCTGATATTGCGGATGAGGAAAGTGCTTTACCAATTTCCTGAATTTATTTACTAAAACGGACTGTGGCTCTCGGTAATGAGAGGAAATTAACTAGAAACTCTTGTTTGTCCAGCCCTGGCTCCCCCGGGGGCCGCCTGGGAAGGCAGAGGCTCCCAGAGCTGGACCAGGCGGGCCCTGCACTCACTCCGGGACCAGGGCCGCGTTCCCCCCAAACCCGCTGTTTACACGACTGGGGGGGGGGGGGGCCCGCGCGCGCTGTTCACATGGACGTGCGCCGATGGGGGGAGGGAGGGAGTCCTGACCGAGGGCTGGCATCGCCAACGGCTCCGTCCTCCGTCCTCCGTCTGGGCCAGGGCAGAGGCGGCCCAGCCCCTGGAGCTCACACGCTGGCTCCTTCATTCACAACTTTGCCCCAGAGACCGTCCCACCAGGCTGCTGTCACAGGAACTCGGTCAGGCTCCTGACCTGGCGGAGCTGCGTTTCTCATTAACTCGTGGCCGCGGCCGGCCAGGCGGGAGGGGGGGCAGCGGAGCCGGCTCTGAATGAATGGGCTCCCGCGCTGCCCTCACGGGGAGGCGGGCAGAGGAGCGGCTCCCCACAAAGGGCAGGAGCAGGAGCCGCAGAGCGGCCTGTCCTCCCGAGAGGGTCCCTGTCTGCTCTTTTTAAATCCTCTGAAAGGCATGGAAGCGTCAACAACAAAATTACACTTAAAAAGCACCCACGTCACAGGCTCAGGCCCTGGGACACACCTGCCTCCTGCCCCCTCTCTGCTCTCCTGACCCCTTCTTTCTGGGACCTGCTCCCCAGTCGGCACAGCTGCCGCCTGGCACCTTGGGGGGCAGCGCCCACAGCAGGGTGGCGGGCTGGCGGGGGGTACCCTCCATCCTGCGTCCCGTCATCTCTTAGCTAAACTGTCAGAACAGGAAAGAGTGTTAGCATGCGCCCCACGCAGCTCCCCCCCCCCCCCCCCCAGGTCTCCCTGAGACCCGGAGCCAGGGCGCCTTTCTCTTAGACAAACACCCACCGGCTGCTGGGGCTCTGAGTAAAGAAGGAAGAGCACAGGGACTCTACACGGTGTGCTGACCGGCGGCATTTCTAAGCTCCCCCGCAGGCGAGCAGAGCAGCCAGGGATGGTGCTCACCTCCTGGCGGCTCAGTACCTGCCGCCACCTGGGCCCCTGGGCCCTTGGTGTGCGCTCCTGGCTTGGGAATAAAAGCTAAAGAGCCAATATGACCCCACTTGAAAGCGAATCCCCGAAACCTCTCTGCTGTTCCTTTCCTCTGTGTTTTGTCACCTGTGACAATAAACATCACTCTTTTCAGAGGAGAAAAGATAACGGATGACAGACAAGCCGCAGGATCAAAGGGTCAGCGGCACTTAACACCTCCCAGACCATCACAGAGAGAACACCCGTGTTATTCACTGTTTCCCGTATTTCCTTCCTCTTAGGGCCGTTTATATATATATATTTTTTATTTCCGTATTTCCTTTCTCTCCCTGACCAACACTGAAAATGAGAGGGCGAGGGAGGGATGGAGGGATGGAGGCAGGAAGGTAGGGATGGAGGCGGGGAGGAAGGGAGGGTGAGGAGGGGGGACATTGACTCTTTCAAGAAAACCTGTCAAGGAGGAGAGTGAGACAAGTCCCTGGTGACCGGGCGGTGTGGGTGCTGGAGGAGCGAGGGGTAGAGATGGTGTGAGGGGACCAGGGGGCTGAGGGTGGCAGGGCTGAGGGGTGGAGATGGTGTGAGGGGACCAGGGGGCTGAGGGTGGCAGGGCTGAGGGGTGGAGATGGTGTGAGGGGACCAGGGGGCTGAGGGTGGCAGGGCCGCCCTGGGAGCTTGCGCCTCATCAGAGCTGCTGCGCCCCTCTAGCTGTAGGCGAGGTGGGACTTGGGGGTCAGACTTATGAAGGAGTGAGGAGTGAGCCAGGAGGGACCGGCCGGGGAGGGAGCAGCGGGGGGTGGGAGGTGAGGGGGACTAGCTCCTTCACGCTGGGGCAGACAAGAGCAGGCAGAAAGGGGGCCGTGAGGGCGAGGGCAGCTCTGGAGGGCACACCACCCCACGGCGAAGCACGCTTGGGGAACACAGACAAGTGACTTTGCAGAATGGACGTGATCTGCTGGAGACCAAATGTTTCCCCGTAAGAGGAAACAGGGAGCGGAAATAAACAACTGCTTCACACTGACGAGTGCCTCAGATTCATAAACAACTGCAAAGCCCATTGTGCTTTGCCAGAGTGTTTTCACAACAGCTCCCACTGGGACTGACGGTAAACACTTCCTGCGATCGGGTTCTCAGTGCCAGCCTGCAGGCTGGGAACAGACCGGAACGCAGTCCTCGCTCTGTGCACGCCCGAGGCCCTGCCAAAGATGGAGAACCGCGGGTCCCTCCATGTGAGGTCACCGTGCAGCTTTGCTCCTAAAAACAAATCTGCTGTCCACTCCGTGGGGGTCCGAGGCTGGGAAGCCCACACGCACCCAGGCCACCAGCTCTCCCCAGCCCGCCAGGGACTGTCAAGTGTCAGTGTGTGTGAGTGTGATGTCAGTGTGAGTGTATGTCAGTGTATGATTGTGTGTCAGTGTGTGTGAATGTGTGAGTATATGTCAGTGTGTGACTGGTGTGTGTGATATCAGTGTGACTGTGATGTCTGTGTCAGTGTATGACTGAGTGTATGTCAGTGTGTGACTGGGTGTGAGTATATATCAGTGTGTGACTGGGTGTGAGTATATGTCAGCGTGTGACTGTGTGTGCAAGTGTATGTCAGCGTGTGACTGTGTGTGCAAGTGTATGTCAGCGTGTGACTGTGTGTGAGTGTATGTCAGTGTGTGACTGGGTGTGAGTGTATGTCAGCGTGTGACTGTGTGTGAGTGTATGCCAGTGTATGACTGTGTGAGTGTATGACTGTGTGAGTATATGTCAGCGTGTGACTGTGTGTGCAAGTGTATGTCAGCGTGTGACTGTGTGTGCAAGTGTATGTCAGCGTGTGACTGTGTGTGCAAGTGTATGTCAGTGTGTGACTGGGTGTGAGTGTATGTCAGCGTGTGACTGTGTGTGAGTGTATGCCAGTGTATGACTGTGTGAGTGTATGACTGTGTGAGTATATGTCAGCGTGTGACTGTGTGTGCAAGTGTATGTCAGCGTGTGACTGTGTATGTGAGTGTATGTCATTGTGTGAGTATATGTCAGCGTGTGACTGTGTGTGCAAGTGTATGTCAGCGTGTGACTGTGTGTGAGTGTATGTCAGTGTGTGACTGGGTGTGAGTGTATGTCAGAGTGTGACTGTGTGTGAGTGTATGCCAGTGTATGACTGTGTGAGTGTATGACTGTGTGAGTATATGTCAGAGTGTGACTGTGTGTGCAAGTGTATGTCAGCGTGTGACTGTGTATGTGAGTGTATGTCATTGTGTGAGTATATGTCAGCATGTGACTGTGTGTGCAAGTGTATGTCAGCGTGTGACTGTGTATGTGAGTGTATGTCATTGTGTGAGTATATGTCAGCATGTGACTGTGTGTGCAAGTGTATGTCAGCGTGTGACTGTGTATGTGAGTGTATGTCATTGTGTGAGTATATGTCAGCGTGTGACTGTGTGTGCAAGTGTATGTCAGCGTGTGACTGTGTGTGCAAGTGTATGTCAGCGTGTGACTGTGTGTGCAAGTGTATGTCAGCGTGTGACTGTGTGTGAGTGTATGTCAGTGTGTGACTGGGTGTGAGTGTATGTCAGCGTGTGACTGTGTGTGAGTGTATGCCAGTGTATGACTGTGTGAGTGTATGACTGTGTGAGTATATGTCAGCGTGTGACTGTGTGTGCAAGTGTATGTCAGCGTGTGACTGTGTATGTGAGTGTATGTCATTGTGTGAGTATATGTCAGCGTGTGACTGTGTGTGCAAGTGTATGTCAGCGTGTGACTGTGTGTGCAAGTGTATGTCAGTGTGTGACTGGGTGTGAGTGTATGTCAGCGTGTGACTGTGTGTGAGTGTATGCCAGTGTATGACTGTGTGAGTGTATGACTGTGTGAGTATATGTCAGCGTGTGACTGTGTGTGCAAGTGTATGTCAGCGTGTGACTGTGTATGTGAGTGTATGTCATTGTGTGAGTATATGTCAGCATGTGACTGTGTGTGCAAGTGTATGTCAGCGTGTGACTGTGTATGTGAGTGTATGTCATTGTGTGAGTATATGTCAGCGTGTGACTGTGTGTGCAAGTGTATGTCAGCGTGTGACTGTGTGTGCAAGTGTATGTCAGCGTGTGACTGTGTGTGAGTGTATGTCAGTGTGTGACTGGGTGTGAGTGTATGTCAGCGTGTGACTGTGTGTGAGTGTATGCCAGTGTATGACTGTGTGAGTGTATGACTGTGTGAGTATATGTCAGCGTGTGACTGTGTGTGCAAGTGTATGTTAGCGTGTGACTGTGTATGTGAGTGTATGTCATTGTGTGAGTATATGTCAGCGTGTGACTGTGTGTGCAAGTGTATGTCAGCGTGTGACTGTGTATGTGAGTGTATGTCATTGTGTGAGTATATGTCAGTGTGTGACTGGGTGTGAGTATATATCAGTGTGTGACTGGGTGTGAGTATATGTCAGTGTGTGACTGGGTGTGAGTATATGTCAGCGTGTGACTGTGTGCAAGTGTATGTCAGCGTGTGACTGTGTATGTGAGTGTATGTCATTGTGTGACTGGATGTGGAAGTGTATGTCAGTG